TTGAATTATTAACTGAAAGTATTTTCTTTTTTCTCTCCTTTACACAGCTCCAAATACCACCCACCCAGCAGTTTCCTTGATTCCCTTTAAGATCTTAGTGGATCTATTAGGGACTGCAGTTTCATCCCTCAGGGCCCTGGCATACATGTAGTAAGCATTCGGAGTTCTAACCCCCTAACTGGAGGAGGATAAGCACCTGTGTGTGGCCATGGTGTGATGACATGAGGAACATACCAAACACTGTTCTAGGAAGGGTCGACCTCTTGGTAACCTTCAATTCACAGTAATAAAGTTCATATGAGGAGTTTTCAAAGATTATACATTGTAAAATTAAGGGAATATATGGAACAGTTTAAAGTGGATCACACATTGACCTCAGGCCTTGCGAAGCTGACATCTGCCAGGATTTGGTTTGATTCTAATAGAGCTCCAGCTCCCAGCACAGCTCTCTCCAAAGGAGATTTCAATAACAGCAATAAAGTGAGGATCTTACTTTTTCCTGACCCACCAGATTCAGTGTGGGCGTACGTGATTTACTGCTACCAATATCTTTTTTTCCAAAAAAGATGTTGGTATTTTATTCAAAATAAAAAGAAAATAGGAAATTTCAGATCCAACAATGCTGTTAGTTCATTAACTTAATCACATTAGAAAATAAGAAGGTAATGTTAGTAACACATACTCACCCACGTTAAAAGCATTACAATAAAAAGCACCTGCTTTGGTAGTGCAGTGCAAAAATCACATGCCATTTGGGACAACAAGGTTTGTATGAATCCTATTTGGTTTTGTGAGTTTAAAATGGTAATCTATAGTAATAATACCACATGTTTTATGAAATGCCTAAATTTATAAGATGCTTTTATGTTTACTGCCTCATTTTATCCTCTCATATTTTCTCTGAGGCATGGGTTCTTATAGTTGCTTTATAAATGAAGAAATTGAGGTTTGTTAAACTTAAGAGTAGCATCCAAAATCACATATCTTGCAAATGATGCTGATAGTAGTTCATCAAATTGCTCTTTTTTCCCTTCCAAGACTGATGCTGTGTTTTCGATTTCATAAATATAATGTATTTCCCTTACAATGGGGAAAGAAACACTCACTAATTAACCAACTATGAGACAGTGGTATATATCTAAATAAAGGGACAAGCTAAAAAGAGATTATATAATAATACCTACTATTTATTTAGCACTTACTGTGCGCCAGACTTTATAGTAATTTACCCTATAAGTTAGATAAAAATTCTTTCTTTTTCAATGAGAAGACATTGAAATTCAGGTGGATTAGCTAATGTAAAAGATGGTAATTGCTGTATAACATAAATCCCAATCTTCAACAATCACACTTCTTGCTCCTGTAGAGTCTGATACAGATGTTCCTGGCTGGGGAACGGCCCTCTGTTGGTCAGTCAGGATTCTGGGCAGTACTGACCTTTCAAGACTTGGAGTCTTCAGCTGGATCTGAATGTTCCTGTTAGAAATACTGTTTGTACAATCAATAAAGGCTTTATAGGTGAGCCGGAATTAGATTTCAGCCTGGCCCCTTCTGAGTTATATCAATTTCAGATTGATGTTCAAGTTAATGCAAGCTTCCTCAGCACAAGAAGTTTTAATGGCTCAGACCTGGAAGTGACATATATCACTTCTGTCCCTGGTACATTTGCCAGAGCTTGGTCACATGGACACTCTTGGCTGTCAGAGGGACTGGAAGACATGATCGAGCTGGGTGCTTAGTAGGAAGGGGAAATAGCTTTTAGTGAACACATAGCAGTCTGCCACATTAAGTAACGTGCCCAAAGTCATTCACGTGATAATTGGCAGAATCAGAGTTTGAGTTCAGTGTTGCTCAAAAGCCTATGCACATTTTACCATGCTATGCCCCTTCCAAATATTTTACAAACAGATTTAGTTTTATTATTTTTAAGGATAGCTCAAATTTTTCATGGCAATATCAGCTTAGAGATATAATCGAGGCCACTTTTGTTGTAATAAGCCCTATTTGGCTGAATCCTTAAGTGTCACTCTTCTGTATCGCAAGGTACCTTGTCTGGTCCCACATTGTACTTTGTCCATGATTTTCTTTGGGCCTTCTTACACATCCTGATGACCGCCCAATAGCAACCACCTTGTCCTTCCCTCATTGGGGATGTGAAATCATGGGGCGTTTCATGAAGGAAGAATACTTTTTTCCTTACCCTTCCTTACATCTTGTCACCTAATGAGTCATCCAAAGAGACAAGAGCTCCAAGCCTCATAGAGCTACTACTGAAAACAGCTCCTTCAAGCTTTTGTTTCAAATCATCTCCGTGAGGCTGCCCAAGAAACAGATTCTAAAAGATTCTCCATCCTACCTGTCACTCACTGTGTAAGGTGGATCCTTTCCAACTAAGAGCCTGGGAAGAATCAACCCACGTAAATGAACTCCTGGTGGGCCCTTCCCACAGCCCAGCTCACATGCCCCGGTAGGTCCTAGTTTAGGAGGCGACTTACTCTAGCCTCAGTCTGGGTTTCCCACTATCCAAGGACACCTGGTACTAGAACCCAGATGACCAAGCGTGTCCAGTAAATATTTTGGACTTGTTTTGATAAACTAATATACATATCTTGTATGAAGAGATAAAAATGCTTTGTAATTTGTTTATCCATCATTTCAAATTGGAATATTGATGTTACTTAAAACTACTGTTGTCTCACATGCATTTTACATGTCTGCCCTGAAATACTGTTCATGCAATTAATAAAGTATAGGTAATCTAAAATTAAGTTTCATCTTGGTTCCTTCTGAGTCATATCAATTTCCAGATTGATGTTCAAATTAACGCAAGTTTCCTGGGCACTGTAAATTTTAGTTTTACTGCATTGTATGTTTTAGTGCTGTGTTCTGCTTTAACCAAACTTCTCATGCAAAGCTATCCACCTATACGTGGGCATGGTCACTGCAGTAAGAGAATTCAGACACCTTTGGTAACCACAGAGCAAACATACACACTCTCTCATAAAAACACTCACCAGGAGTCATGTGGTGGTGAATGGTGGTGGGGGAGAGGGAGAGATCGAAGACTTGGGCTCCCCATGGACTCACTGACTGTGGCTATGCACATTAAATGAATAGATCTCCAAATGGCTACTCTATTAATTCCAACCATTTAATGATCAATGAAGATTGCTGAATGAGTAATCTACGGTGGTGATCAATATTTATCATGAAGATAGCTGAAATGGACACCAGCCACATATCGATGTGGCCTGAATCCGAGAAGGGTATCCTGAAAGCCAGGGCACGCCCAGTACTGGGAAGAGTGTTTGAGGTAACACTTCTGCCTTCTAGAAGGCCTGTCGTGGGGGGTCTCCCTCCAAGCCTGATGCTTCCTGCTGTGTGGGGACTGCCGTGTGGGGACTCAACCTGTTCTTTTTAATTCTAGATGTTTTTAATCCTCCACTTCCCTTTCAGTGAAATGCTCTTTTTATTCTTTAATTTTAATTATTATGGGTATATAATAGTTTTATATCTTTATAGGGTACATGTGGTATTTTGATCCAGACATACAATGTGAATTAATTAAATCAGGGTAATTGGGATATCCATCACTCTAGGCATTTAACATTTTTTTGTGTTAGGAACATTCCAATTCCATTCTTTAAGTTATTTTAAAGTAGACCCTAACTTATTGTTGGTTATAGTCACTTTGTTGTGCTATCAAATATTGTTCATTCTATCTATCTAAGTGTATTTTTGCATCCATTAACCACCCCCACTTTATCCCCTCATCCCCGCTACCCTTCCCAGCCTCTGGTAACCATCACTCTAGTCTCCATCTCCAAGAGATCAATTGTTTTTAATATTAGCTCGCACATACATAGAGGGGAGAACATGCAAGATTTGTCTTTCTTGGTAAAATGTACTTGCCCCAACATCGCGGGGCCCAAATCTGCTTTCCAAGCTGCTTGACATATTTTTAGACTCTCTTTTGAGTATTTCTTCATTGATTGTTTCATACCTATCTTGCCTTAATTCAAAAAGGATTTAATGCTTGCAGATAAGCATCTCATTTAGACACTAATGTCTCACACCGAAGGACTGGGTGTATGCAGCATTTCCTTGGCAGGGGGGTGATCCAGTCAGGCGAATGGTCCCTATCAAGTCACCGCATTGGGGGCCACTGCACTGGGGGCCCCCTGCCCCAGTGGTGTGATCCAAGTCACCACATTGAATGACATTGTATGGATGTCAATGTCATCCACACAAAGACCTTGTTCCAGTCAGGAGTTTAATGTCCCCCCCCCCTTGGCCCCGAGAGAGGGTCCCTGCAGGTCTTGTCCTGAAAGCTACCTCCATAGACAATTTCTGATTTCACTTTTAATAAAAGGTTGAGAATTCAGGAGTGCCAGGATCCTGGGATGAAGCTTTAACCCAAGACCGAAATGGCAATTCGAAAAGACTAAATAGGTGTGAATTACAAGGTACCTGAGTGTTTGTCCCTTCTTTCTTTTCATAGAGCAAACAAGGTTTTGCCCATAGCCTGTGAAACAATCGCATTCGGATTGGCCTTGGCATCTGGACAGGCCTGGACAAATTAGCCAGGAGCAACTCCAGCAGCAGAGGTGGTTTTGGAGAGGCTCGGGAAGGAGGCAGAGGAGGCTGGCCCCACGGAAAGAAGCGTGACTCAGGCCGGCTATAGGCTGGCATGGCCCGGGATGCCAGATGCTCATGGCCCGGTACCTTCCCTGCTCTCCCACTCATCCCCGTGTGCCTCGGACGGGCGGGCTCTCCTGGTGGCGAAGGGCACCGACCAGAAAAGGCCACTTGGGTTATTCTGGCTCTCGTCACAGACAAGGCTCTGTAGTGAAATACGGTTTCAAACTCGTTGCTATGGAAATATGTTTTAAAGATAGCTAATGCTACCAGGGAATCTGACTGGCAGCGATAGCAAATCAGGCTTTGATGTAACCTCCTCATCCAGCCTGTCGAGCCATTTCAGAACAAGTGTACGCAGAACGGTGCGGTTTCAGCCTTTGCCCGGCGTGCTCGGGAGTGTGGGGAAAGCGCTCCGTGTGAGCAGCTCCTGTCAATGGTTGATTGTTCAGGATGCAGCTCTGCAGCTGGGGGGTTTGCAGGGCCTTGGCTCATCCTCCCTTTCCTCCTGGGCACTGTGCTTTAGCGGTTTCATTGCTTATTAGCGCTTCCACCAGAGGGTGGCGAGGATGGAAAATGCCTGTCACCCTGTGAGGAGCTTTCATAAGAGATGTGCCGAGGGGAGAAACTGAAACCATTGGCTGAAATCAGGTTTGCAGATTATCTATGGATTTCATTTACGATACGATTTCTGTGTGAGTAATCTCATCATTGGGCGTTGGCTGCATGTGGCTTAGCTGGAAGCAGAAGCTTTAATTTAAAGAGCCTTGTAAATATGCACATAAGTTTCTGGCTACATGGTAATAAGGGAATGAATGTCTAGAGACCCCAATTTTAAAAAATAAATGTGTCCAGAAATGCAGGTCATTTGAAACTTAGGATGTTTGTTGTGACATGAGTCATTAGTTTGGCCGTCCATGTTGGTCAAATTTCCCTAATCACTGCAAAATAATTAGCAGATATCATACAGATACAGATTTACAAAACAAGAAACCATAATGAGAAACTTTTGAGCTTCCATTGTATACGTGTGTATATAGTCATATATAAGTATCAAGGTATATATTTGTGTTTTATATGTAGTCATATATATATAAGTATATATACATACATATGTGTGTGTGTATATATGTATATAGGATGGGAGGGCTTTTTTATTATTTTGATGAATTTTTTTCATAAGTAAAATGCTGATCTTACAGAAATGTAAGAATGCAAAATGAATTAACCTCTGCAGTGCACTTTGAAAAAGAACATCTTCCTTTTACTGTCCCTCACCCTTCTGCAGAAGGTGACAATTGCTGATGTCTTTCTTGAGATGCAGATACCCGAATCCATTGAGCTGTGCACCCTCTTGACGATTCATTTTTCCAATGGAAATGATTCTCATTCCTTTCTCTTCTGGGAAGAACACCAATTAGTGACCTCTGGGGAGATTCTTTACCTGCATTAAGAATCAGTGGAGTCGGGAACCCTTCAGGTATTCCTTTCCAGAAACTTGTAAGGTGGGTCCTGGCCTGACTGCTGATTGCCAGGAGTCACCAAATGGCAGGGTAGGTTTCTGTTGTTTTGCCGCCTGGTACAGCAAAGTCTTTTCATTTCCTGCTCTGGGGACGCCCTCCCCTCTCTCCAGCAAACACACACACACACACACACACACACACACACACACACACACACACACGGTGCTTGTATGAAGCCACAGAGCCCCAGCAAGGAGTGGCTTCATTTATTGAGCTTCTTAAGGAGTGTGGATCTATCAAATCTAATTATAGGGAAGAGCAGATACTCAAAAGTTCTCTTGGGCACCCCCTTTCATTTAAAACACCCCAGATGTATGATGGTTTATTAGAATTCTCATTATGTTGTGCTCAGGTGAAGCATTCCCCTTTATTTAATAAATTTTGTCAAGAAACTCATTTATTCCAGAAAACATTAAAGAAATACATAATTAAAATATTAAAATGATGGAATGAACATTATTAATAAAGTCCTTTTTCACTTAAGAATAAATCACTGCACATGGTAGCTGCTTCGACAAAATGCATTGAGCTTCTCTCATCCAGATTGTAAACGACCTGTCAATTCACCTGTATAAAATTGCATGGACGTGTTAATATAAAACATTCAAATCAGCAATATGTTCTTGTGTATGACATTTCCAAACTATATAACTCATGTACCTCTTCTTTCATCCTTTGAAAGAAGAGAAAACAAAGCTCATGCAGGAAGACATATAGGTATTTACGGTTTATACCTTTTCTTTTCAAAGCTTCCTTCTTATTTTTCCATGCCTTCCCTTTGTTTCCTTCCACACTATCAAGTGTTTTCAGAAGGCAGCAGAGAGAGGTATAGATGGAGTTAATGGTGAAACAAAGTTTTAGCTTCCTTGCATTAACCAGCTTAAATTCTCCCATCATAATTCACGTTATGGCCGCTTGCCAGAACTCACTGCCACTTCCTGTTATAAACATGTGGATTCAGGTGTTTTCTCTGTAGCGATTTAACAGTGAGAAATAGAGGTGTTTGCATCCTAGAATAAGACCCTTCGCATACACCTTTTCATTCTTTCCATTTCACAGATGACAAAACTGAGGTTCAGGGAGGAGAGGTTACTTAATTCAAGGTACATGACTAGTAAGCAAGATTCGATCCTAGGTTCTGGCTCTGTCTCTTGACTACCCTGACCCTCACGCTCCTGGTACAAGGAGAATTCATGCCCCTTATTCATTAGAGGCTCTGCCATTTCCCTTCCTTTCTGCCCCCATGGGGATGGACTCTTCATCCACAAATGAGACCAGAGCCTGTCCTGGAATTTCCCCACCCTCCAAACTATATCACAAGACATCAAGAGATGCCCATTGTTTCCCTGGGTCTTTGCTAACCTGGCTATGAACTCTCAGCAAGGGGGATGGCTTTTGGGGTGGCAGGCCTTGGGGAATCTGCCTGCTGCAGGCAGCATGGTCAGCGGGCACTGGAACCAGTGGCAGAAACACCAATTTTAAAAGTTTGGGGAAATCAGAAAAGTCATTAATTAAACCTCTACAGCAGATGAAATAACTTCAATACTCTTGAGAATGAATCTTTGCTCTCCTTTAAGTTCATTAAACTATTTAAAATTTCAACAGGCACTACTCGAGGAACCACATTTTCTACCTGTCTGCCAAGATTTAACAGTTTCACCGTTTTATTGATGAAAGTTTCAGTATTCAAAGGCATGTAACTCTTGATGTTTCAGAATTAATCGATGTGATGAAGAATTCTATAGATTCACATTCATGTTTATGACTTAATGATTTCCCTGGCTTCTTTACAATCTTATTGCATAGCTATTTCTGGACGCCTGCATGCACGCATGCAGACATATGCTCTAGGTAAAGAAAAAATACAAAATAAAATACATAACAGCAGGGAGAGAAATTATCAGATTTTGAAAATTTAGTTCTATTTACTACAATTTGTGTGACTAGGTTAATTGTTGTTTGTTTAAATGAGGCCAATATGTCTGGCATTGATGTCTCAGGCACATGGAAGTGTTAGCTAAGCTTGGCTTTCTGACATTAAATGCCATAATTACAAATTCTCTGGGAAAATATACATGTGTAGTTATAGCCAGCCTATTAAAAGAATTAGCCTTGAACAAAGACATTCAACCATAAAACAGAGTGAATGGTTTTGCTAAATTTTTATACCTATTGCAGATATTAAACAGCATCTGGGCTTTAGAGATATAATTTGTTCTATGCTTCATTCAATATAATTTATTAAATAAACATTTATTGAGCACCTACTTGGCGCCTGACAGTATATTACATAGTGGGTAATTGAAGTGCTATTAAATCTTTTTTGAGGGAGTCAAACACACACACACACACACACACACACACACACACACACACACAAGAATGTAGCAGATGCTTGGTTAATGTCATTTGAAACTGGGCTCTAAGAGAATGAGTAATCTCCAAGGGAATGTTGCAGAAAACTGGTCACCACCTCTCAACACCTCGGAAGAATAACTCCTCTTTTTCTGTTTAGCAAATAATATTCTGTATTTTGTTGATGTCTTGCCTGAGGCCTCTTTCCAACGTTTGATTTTATATATGGGAACATTTGCTTCTTTGGTGCCTTCAGTATCTGTAATGTGAGATGATGTCCCCTGCCCCTGGCAACCTATAATGGTGCTGGGATCCCACTGGAATACAGCCCCGAATCCTTCATCTGGCATTCAGCGTTCTCCTCCATGTGGCCCAAGCCTGCATTCCAGAGTCAGTTCTCACTAGCACCTTCCTGTACTTTACACGCCGGCTCATGCCCACTACTTACTTTCCTCCCCACACAGGTCTCCATCACTTTGCTGACATTGTCTCCTTAATACAGAAAGCCCACTGCCCCATCCTTGTCTGCGAAAACCCTCCCCACCCTCTAAGACAGACCCAGGTCAGGTTGTAATTACTTCCTGGCCTGGGTTACAACAGGTCTTGGTTTGTTTACTTTTACACTATGTAGACCCCTATCTTGCTATGTTTTATTACTGGTGTACTTGCATTTTATTTTTGCTACTAAATTGCACATTTTTAGGTGGGATAAATGTCTGGATCTCAGTCCTCTCTGATCTCCTGTTGAACTCTGTATCAAAGCACTTCTAGAAAGTAAATGCTCATTGAATGAATAAGTAAATGTAGGCCTGCCTCCACTTCACCTTCAGGGCTGTGTGTAGAGCCCGGAAGGGAGACACAGAGTATATATCGAAGCCCCTCATTGTGCCTTGTCTCTCTTCACCTGTGCAGAAGTGTCCCTGTACTGGATTTTAGGAGAGCATTGAACTAATGAGGCTATTTCAAACAATAAATAACAGAGTCCCATTTATGCCAGCACTTCAGGGCACTGTGGCTTCGAGGTGTCGCAGATGAGGTGACACATTCTCACATGCACCAAGCCAGCAGAATGGACAGGAACAGTGGTGACTTGGGAAAGAGGTAGGTGTATCTCCTTCTCAGCCACACACCCCCCACCCCCCATGTAAGCCTGCAGAGGAACCCGTCTATGGACTCACGGAACCCTCTTCACTCTCCCTGAAGGAGAGACTAGGGCATTTGTTGGACCAGCCCTCATCAAAGACAGGAAAACAAACATGTGCCTTTCATCCCTCCTTGCTGTATCCCTCTGCTCCCCCCTTTCAGCATCCTGTATTTTAGGCTCACTTCTATGTCTAAGCCATACTAAGGGGTTGGGGATGCTAACTTAGAATACTACCCTTGTTGGCAGTATTTGCAATTTAAAGAGATGATATGCAAAAAGACAACGCTTCCTAGAAAGTGAGGCCTCTCTCAGGTTGGAATTTCAGTCTTGGTACCCGCTGTGGATATGTCAGTGCAGTTTAGTGATAACAACTGTGATTATAGGTAGAAAAAAATGGTAGCACTTTCCCAAGATTATTCAGAGGATTAAATGAGATATTGCTCTGTCAAGAACTGAGAGAAGAATGACATATTAACCTCACTTGTAATCTAATGAGTTATCTTGCCATGGTTACACGGTTGCTGGCAGAAGACATGAGACTCCTAGGCCAGAGACTGAGGACTTTGTTACTCATAGCAAAAGCAGTAGCCAGAGTTTCAGCATCCTTGTGTGCTAGTGCCTCAAGCCCT